CTATAGCTTTTGATTCTCAGAAACAAATTCTGAATATTTCGTTTTTCTGCATCGAGCAAAGCCCAAATTTAGGAGTACTGTAATTTTTCGCTGAGCCAAGTGACGAGCGCAACTCGATCCTCGTGTCGTGAGCAGCTCTCATTTGGTGTTGTATTGTTGTCTGGGTGACAACAGTAAGGCTTATTCATGCCGTGTAAAACCAGAAACAGGTTTTGATAACGCAAAGGCAACAGCATTTGTCATAAATCTGTAGAAATACGGGAGAATTTGTGACTGCGGGAGGAAACTGGGAGAGGGCGATGATGAACGTTAGTCTCCCAGGTCGGTAAGTGCGCCCCCTCATGGCCCACGAACCACAGTTTGGGAACCACTGGCATCGATCATCGCATACTAATGTCGGTGTTTGCGTTGGCCTTTGCCCATTGTATCAGTATTACCCCAATAACCCCGACCTGCAGCAGTGGTGATGTTAGCAAATAACCCTCTCTAAAACCATTTCGTGTCTCCACGTGTGTGTACAGGAATAAATGAACAAAGTCACTGCAGACATTATATAAAGTGCTATAAATAGGATGATTTTTTAATAACTGACGAGACATGGTGTGTTTGTCTCTCTCCCTCTCTGCAGAAAGACAAACGGAGGACCGAAGATTGCGGTTAAAAAGGTCTCTCAAGCTGGCAAGAATACAATTCACACTACGAGTGTCTCGTATTTCTCACTTAACTCTAAAAAGATGTTTTTTCTCTTTCCCTTCCCACATACAGTGTTGCATCTGCCTCTTGATAAATGCTTGCATCTGTTGCTTCCTCATATACATGAACATTTTATTCCATCTATTCACCTGTCCTCCAACTACTCTGTCCCATGAAAGACTGGGTCAGATTATGGCGATTAGTCACAGTGTGACATCAAGCCAGTCATTTATATAACCCTGTATTACTCCGTCTGCAAGGTCATCTGCTAGATTAGACCAGCTAACATGACAGGATCACTCAGTGGATTAGCCTACCTGGGATGCTAGCAATGCAAGATCAAACTGATTTGCTGCACAATGAATAGCATGCTCGGCCTACATGCAACGTGGAAATCTAAATTTTGTAGGATGCTGTATAAATTTACCATGTAGCCAAATTCAATGGAGTCATTGATGTTAGATTACAGTGAAAAGTTAGCATTGAAAAAACACTGGATGCGGCAGCTAAAATTGCTAAGATGCGACGGAACAAAATAAACGAATACCATTTTGCAAATGACAAAACCAGATGGCTTTTTTGCATTGTACTGAATCTAGCGTTCTGGGCTTCAGGCACTGACAGCAGAAGGCCACTGGTCCACTGTGCTGCATGCTAACATGCTACCATGATCTAGTTACCATTTGGTTTTGGCTTTATAGCGGAAGGGGGGGCCGCCCTGCCTGAAATTTGGACTAACTCTGCCAGCATCATAGTACACATCTACTTACTAAATTGATCAGACAAGATGCATCAGGATCTGGATGATCATCCAGTCTCGGTATGCAAATATTACTGTCGCTGGTGTGTCAAACTGTGGCTGGTTCATCCAAGGAAATTGAATAACGTAACGGTCAAGACACTATTACAGTAAGCTGAGGTTTTCAGACACAACCTGAATTAATAGGAGGACATTTCCAGTTGGATTGTAGTAATCTCCTTTAGTCAGGACAAGAAGGCCTCCAAAGAAGGATAACAATGCCGCAGAGCTGCCAGCCCTGGACTGTTTTGGGTACCACATTGGTGGCAAGGGCAGTGCCGCATGCACAGCCAGTTAGTCAAACAGAAACAAAATAAAGAGATTAAGTTTAAACAAGACTAATTGTGAAAAGGCGTTCTTTAGGTCACCTTCAACCTGTTTCCAACAGAAAGTCAACTTGTCTCAAGAATTGTTTGAATGACAATCGCATAAATCAAAATATAAGATACATTGCTGCACTATAATCAAGAACACTTAAATCTAACAAACACGTTCATTTGTATCAAAGACAAGTTGAAATTGTCTCATCATACAAGCAAGTTTTATAAAAATGTTAGGTAGCAATAGTAGCACAGAGGAACTTCTCCACATTAAAGCTCGGGTTGGGAATGTTCTTCACAAACATCTTTTGTTATATTTGTTGAAGTGATCTTTCCATCACTGACAGCAATGATTGAACGGTCTAACCGAAAACAACAACAAAACACGCCGTCTGCGCTCTCCGCCTCCTCCTTGTTCCGCTCCTTTTCTTTCCACTCCTCGTCATCTCATCGCTAACTCAACCTCTCCCTCCCTCGCTCTTACCTCACTTTAAGCTGCATTAAATCTTTTATTTTTAACCGTGCCTATCTCACTGGTTTGAAGGAGAAGCGAGACGAAGTTTAAAAAAAGGTGGCGTGTCATGTGATTGGTCCATCGGTGCTCATGTATGTGCATGCCTTTAGGGGACAAGCCCGTCTCCTTGTATGAGTGACTGCTGCCAGGAGACAAAACAGAAAAGAGCTCTGCATGCTCTCCACACCTTGTAAGGTAGAATCTTCTTATCCTTTCTCTGGGTTTTGTAAACATGGGCTCCTTGACCCAACTGTGTGTGCTTCACACACACACACTCTAATAAACTCTTCCTTTCTCTGACCCCAGTGCTGTGGGGTCACGCACACAATGGTTTCACTCAGGGCGAGCCAACCAGCCGGCTATCCAGCTAATTCCAGTAGCTACAGTCAGTCTCCAGCACGCATGAAGCATTAACCACATGGGGGGGGGGGGGGGAGACGAAGT